TGGGTCCTCGGTCGCCTGCAGCATTTGGATTGGCTACGTTTCACAAAAAGAGCGTTTCAGCTGACGGACTCAGTGCCGCAACGGACTTAACTCGTTATTTGAGGTTCTACTATATTACCTTTTGACAGTAGCCGATCCACTGAGTATGCAGTAGATAAGCGTAATCCCCTCCTATGGTAACAGTATTGCGGCCACCTACATTCAGTCCACCATATGCAAAAACGTATTCTGCGACTGCGGTTTGTGTCTAATTAATCAGAACCAAAATTCACAAACGACAGTATCTTCGTTTTGTTCTGCATCGTCTCTTCCGCGATGATGGCTACTGTCTCTTCTCTGGGTACGCCGCATTTCATTAGCTGTTGTGTCTACCCACAGTTTTCACTGTGATGGGTATCGAGAAAACAAAAACAGCTCAGCATAGCAGTCCTGCAAAACTAGTATCGAAAATGTGTCCTGACCATTTGTACAGCCTGACGCTTCACTGTTGCCTTTGTTTGATAGTTTTGAAGACAGTGTTCGTGAAACTAAAAGAGACACTTACTGTTTCCATCTCTCTGCTATTCACCAAATCAGGCAAAGAGGTCAGCCTACGGACGGCGCCCTCCTCTCCGAAGCACGAGGGCTCTCCCTACGACGGCTTCACGGCATCTACCACTAGTTCGCCCGAGGACAGCCTGCTCTTTGACCTGACTCTGCTGGTGCTCCGCCTGTTACGGGCCTCCATTAGCGGTTCTAACCCCGAGGTAGAACTTTTTACTCAGCTCCGCGGTCCCACCCTCCTGCTGACTAGCCTTCTTCCGGCTCAACCTCCTCTCCATTTGGCCAAGGAGGCCTTGGATCTCCTCTCAGAGGTGCTCAGCATGGCTGCAACTGAGGATCTTCTGATGGGGGTGTTGGACGTCTTGCCGGCCTCTTGCGTTCCTCTGAGAATTGAGGTAGGTTTCCTCTGCCTCCACTGCACTCTCCTCCTCCTCCTCCTCCTCATCCTCTTGCGCTGTCTTCCCTTCCACGCCATTTGGCCTCTTGTTAGCCTCCGCTTTTTTATACTCAAATGCGTTTTAAAAGTTTTGTTGGCAAAAGTAGCTTATGTAGCCCCACTCATATACCCCTAGTCCCAG